AAGAGCTAAGTTCAATAGCCCATTTTGTAATTCGACCAGACAGGTTTGGTTTAGCTAGGATAGCCCGTATAGGGTGATTTGTAAGTACCACTATGCTGTGAGACTCGAAGTAATGTCGAAGTTTCCTCTTGGCATAAATTAACGCCAGGATTACCTTTTCCGTCTTGCTGTACCGTGTCTCGGCATCCGTCATCGTTTTGCTTGTGTAAAAGATTGGGTGCTGAACCTTGCCTCCTTCTTTGATCAACACTGCGCTTGTTGCTACAGCTGATACTGCCAGGTACAGGATGAGAGTGTCTTCGGGCGTTGGAGCAGAAAGGATTGGGGGTTTTGTCATGTAGCTTTTCAATTGATTGAGAGCTTCCTGCTGCTGAGGTCCCCACATATCTTTGTTTTTGGATCGAATAGCATCAAAGAAAGGTTTATACTTATCAGATAATCGGGATATGAACCGGCTGAGAGCCGCAATTCGGCCGGTTAGAACTTGCACTTCCCTGCAGGTTTTTGGCTCCTGGTTCTGTATGAGTGCCTTTGCCTGAGCTGGGCTTACTTCTATTCCTCTTTTATTTACGACGTGCCCGAGGAACTGTCCTGACGAAACGGTGAAGGAGCACTTGGTGGGGTTCAGCTTCATATTGTACCTCTTGAGAGTATCAAAGACCTCCTGGAGGTGCTTCGGGTGGTCCTCTTTCCGTATACTTTTGACCACCATATCATCGATATAGGCTTCAACTGTATTCCCCAGCAGATTATTGAAAATTTTATTGACAAGTTGATGGTAGGTGGCTCCGGCATTCTTTAGACCGAAAGGCATCACTCTGTAGCAGTAAGTGCCCGTCTCTGTGATGAAAGCGGTTTTCTCCTCATCTTCAGGATTCATGGGAATCTGATTATAGCCGGAGTATGCATCGAGGAATGTGAGCCTCTTATAACCTGTCGTAGCATCCACCATTTGATCAATCTTAGGCAGAGGGAAGCTATCTTTCGGGTAAGCTTTGTTAAGGTTGGTATAATCTACGCATACCCTCCATTTCCCATTCTTCTTTTGAACGACTACTATATTTGAGAGCCATTGTGGGTATTGCACCTCTCGAATGAATCTTGCTTGTAATAGTTTATTTACTTCCTCAGCTATTATGCGATTCCGTTCAGGTGCGAACCGTCGGTGCCTCTGCTTGACTGGCCTGAATTCTGGGTTAACCCTCAAACTATGGCATGAGACCATAGGATCGATTCCCACCATGTCCGAGTGATCCCAGGTAAAGACATCCGAATTGCACCGAATGACCTTGATCAATGCTTCCTTCTCTTCGGCTGTGCAAGATGAGCCAATGTAGGTGACCTTCTGAGGGTCTCCGAGGACTACCTCTATTGCTTCGAGGGACTCCTCGGTAGGTGCTTCAACCTCGGCTTCTTCCTCTGCCTTGAGATACTTGGGCAGAGGATATTGTAACTGCTATTTGATTGCGCCTTTGGGATTCACCTCTAACTGAGGTGATTTCGACGCCTTCTTTGCTTCATGTAGCGTTAGCATGTAACATTCTTTTGCAGCCACCTGGTCTCCCCAGAGCTCGATGACTTCCCTGCCATCTGGGGATAAACATTTCATTACTTGATGAAGGGTAGAGGGGACTCCGTTCATACGATGGATCCAACCTCTCCCCATAATGAGGTTATAAGATGGATGAATCTCCGTCACGACAAAGTTCTCCTTCAGAGTCCTCTTTGCTGCAGTAACGGATAGATCGATCACCCCAAGCGGATTCACCTTAGTACCATCAAATCCCATTAGGGGGCTGGAAGTTGGCCTGATGGACGATGGTGAAACCCCCAACTGATCAAAAGCTGTTTTTGTAATGATGTTGGCGCTACTTCCTGGATCTATCAGCACCCTCCTGATCATATAATTCGCTACCAGGAGGCTAATGACCAAGGGGTCCTCATGCGGGCGCTGGACTCTAGACAGATCATTGTTACCGAATCCAATGTTGATGCTGCCTGGTGCAACCGTGTTTACCGAAGACAATCTTCGTAACTTATGAGCCTCTCTCAGCCTGGATCTGTACAACTCTTCAGACTCTTCATCATCCTCTGACCTTCCGTGTATTGCATGGATAACCTTTACCTGACCGCCCTCTACCCGTCAAGGGTTAACCTCCCGAGGTTTTACGTACTCCTTCGTGGCGAGATACTCCACCAACTCTCCTCTCACTATCATGCTTTCTACCTGTCGCTGAAGGGACCTGCAGTCATTGGTGGTATGCCCATAGTCTCTATGGTAGGCACAATGTTTGTTTTTGTCCCTCTGCTCCAAGGGTTGTTTAATGGGCTGAGGAGTTGCGAACCTCGTCTTATTCTCTTGGAATAGGCACGCTAAGGTAGTACGGAGAGGGGTAAGCCTGTCCTCTGTCCTTCGCCTCTTCTCAGGCGCTTGGGTGACTTGTGTGGCGGTATGAGGAACCTTCTGCATCCTTGTGCTCCCAGCTTTCTCTCGAGACTTGTTTTCCACTGTCACGAGGGTAGCGTGCTGTGCACGGTGGGCTACGTTTTCCTCCAACCGAATGTAGATTTGTGCCCTAGCGTTCAAAGTCTGCAAATCCGGGGGGGAATATTTGACCAAGGATGTGTGAAACTTGGTTCCCTGGATCATTGCCAACTTAAATGTTTCGATTGCCGTGGCAGGGTGGCAATCTGCTATCTCCGAGGCCTCCATGTTAAACCTGGATAAGAAATCTTGCAGAGTTTCTCCCTTCCTTTGCCTTATGGTGAAAAGGCTGGCGATACTTTTCTTCTGCTTCTTATTTCCGCAATATTCGGCTAAGAACATAGTGCACAAGGTTTCATAATCAGGGATAGACTTGTGTGGCCGATTCCTGAACCATTCTAACGCTGCACCGGTTAAACTGGTAGGAAAAACCTTACACATCCACGGATCGTTATGATCGTCTAGTGCCATCTTTTGCGCATAATGATCGAGATGCCGAGAGCGGTCTCCTGCCCTATCGAACTGGGTGAAGGATAGCATAGTGAACTTCTTTGGTCTCTCCACAAGGTACACATTGTCAGTAAAGGGGGTCTTGACCAAGGAGTTCTTGTGCTCTCTAGCCATCTCGGCTGGTGTCTGAACTCTTAATAGCTTCTTTTCGTCGAAGGCATCTTGTACGCGTGCGCTATCTGGAACGCCATTGGACCATATCGTAAGCCTATGGCTGGACTCGGCCTGTTCGTCCTGTGTACGGCACGGGAGATTATCCGAAGCAACCGCCTCGGACCTCGTCCCTTGCTTTTGCTGAACCTCATTAGGTCGAGCCCCGTTGGGTGGTGTCCCGTTGGCCGGAGGCTCGTGAACTGGAGGTAAATTCTGGGTGGGGGGTGGTGCTGCAGCATCGCCTGGTGGTGGTTGTGGCGTTAGCCTGGCCATTGCCGTGTGCAGTGTATGAGTCTGCTGCTGAAGCGCAGCTATCTGGGCGACACTCGTATCGTTTGCTTGCCGGAGTGTCTCAAATTGGTGCAAGAACCCCTCTCACATCTTTTGCATCAATTCTATCTGTTGATTCATTGCTGACTCTCCGTTTGACATTCCAGATACGACTAAGGATTTGATTTGAAGAACGAGTGAGAGTATATTTTTATACGTTTCCCACAGACGGCGCCAAAGTGTAGGTGCAAAATTTCGCTCAACCAATAATGATTGAGAAAAATAAAACAATACACTCAAAAAACAATAAGAATAAATAAGAACAGTGTATAGAGAAGCGTAGAATTGCTTGATCCTTTTATTGGAGGTCTGAACCCCTATTTATACATAAAAGGGTGGTCGAATTAAGGTAGGACTCGCATTGCTTGTCCTCCAATTCTTCCTATACAGAGTTTCTTTACAAATAGAGCTTTTCCCTTGTATAACTTTCTATACGTATTACTTGCCTTGTACAGAACTTCCTATCTCAGAATTTGCCTTCTACAGTAAATCCTTCAACCGGTAGGACTTGTGTATTCTTGAATAACTGGGCTGAACATATTTTGATCCGGCTGGGCTTGAGTAACGGACCGGATGTTAAATATTAACAAGTTGGGCTGATGACCTCTTGATTCGGCCTTGATGGAGGTTGGAGGACAAATAACGATGGTCTTGGGCTGTAAATACCCTCAATTTGGGCTTGAGCATGATGGGCCTTATATGTCCTTGGAATGCAGATATGTGTAGTGGTGACGTGTGCGCTTTTTATTGGAGGGAGTTTTTTTTCCCTCCACAACGGGGTATTCCAAGAACAACCTTAAAACTTTATGTTTTTAATTTCAAAGAATTAAAAATAAAAAATTTTACAAAAAATTGTTTGATTGTATTTTTATTAAAAATTCTGGCTTGTTTGGTTTGTAAATCTGAATATAGTTATCAGAAACTCAGAAAACAGACTGTCTATAAAAAATAACAGTGGGCTTACTTGATTTGTAACTTTGAAAACAGTTATCAAGAATTCAAAAAAGAGAAAATAGTTTTTAGAGAATAATAAATGATAGTTATCTAAAAATAGACCTTTTTATAACTGAGTTTTCAAAAATTGAATCAAGTAGAGTTTTTTTTGTATAGTTTTCTGTTCTTAAGATTACAAATCAAGCAAGCACAAACCTTTTTATAACTGAGTGTTCATAAAATAATTTTTAGAAACTAAACCAAACAGAAATTTATTTTGTACAATTTTTAATTTTTAATTTTTATAAAATAAAAAATTATTTTTTACAATTACAAATCAAACAAGCCTAGTTTTCATAATAGTGTAATAACAGTTTTTCACTTTTTGTTTGAACTTTTTCCGATAATGCTCTTCTGACAAATGTGTTCCGTGTTTACAAAAATTTAGTGTCCAACTTGTTTTTGTTTTGAGCTAAAGAGTGCAAATCCGATGGTAAAAATAATCCACGTCATCAACAAAGTCATGGACTGGGCTAATGGAGGGAGCGCGCCAATGTCGCTCTCCATTATTTTGAGCTGCAAACATTCCCCTAAACATCTGACACCCATATCTTCCTCTCTCTTCATTTTCCCTCTTTCTCTAGAACTCTGTTTGGAATATGCATTGTGTTCCCCGAAGCAATTCGACATTAATCCTTTCAGATTTTCAAAATTTGTTCTTATACTGGGTGGATTTTTTAATTATTTTTTTGTATTGATCACTAGTTTTTCTGATTCAATTAGAGGGCAATGCAAAATTGGGTTGGTTGATTGATTGATTGATTAATTGATCTTTGAGATTTGAATGAGGATCAGTTGATTTCTTACTCGGTGAAGCAGTATATTGATCATTTGGTCATCTCAATCTTGAAAATTGTGGGAATTTGATGATAGGCCAAAACAGATTACATTGGCATCTATGAAGACTATGCGGATGGTTGAGACGAATACGCTTCGGCGGCTTCCTAAGCATTGCTTCAGATGGAATGGCAGATCATGAGCGTGATATCGAGCAGGTCATTTTCTTTTATTGTTTATTTATTTTTCCTTCTTTATATATATATATATATATTGTATATATGATTTGTGTCTTCCGATGTCAGTTCTTTAACATAATAGCTTCTTGGGAAGCATAAAGACATACCCATAAAAAAATCATAGTCATACATAATTGTTATGCTATATTATACTATTAACATTTAACCCTTGTTGTGAAGCCCATAGTTACACTTTTTTTTAGCAAACAAAAACCACACCAAGAAACTGGAGAAGGCTTTAAAGACATTATGGATAATATCAGAGAATTCTAACATGATAACTTAGCTAATTATTGTCCTTTTTTCCGGACAAATATTGGTGTCTGCTCCATAGTTTCCCCAAGTGATCACTTGGAAACATACTGATTCAGCTTAAGATAATCTCAACAACACTTGATTATCAACTTCAAGTGTTGGTAATGTGATGCCTGTGCAGTATTTGTGGGTGGTGTGGTTATCTTTAGTTTGGAGAGTTTTTGAGTACAAAAATTTAGAGCAGTCTAGTGGTGGAAGGAATTTGTATTGTGTGGTTAATTAGAGATTATATGTTCTTTTGGTAATTTGGTAAGAATTTGAGTTTTCTACTATTTTTTCCTTACTATGTTTTTGAGATATATATATATATATATATATATATATATATATATGTGATGTTGTGGCTTGAATTTGGTGCCGGGTCGCATTGCGACCTGACAACCCATTGGATGAGCTTTGACCCGTTTTGCTTGTGGGTCATGGACCCAAATTAGTTCTCTCTTGTAGGCCGATATATAAGCGCACTTAGGGTTTGGAGTGTATTATCGAGAGACACTGAAAATCGTACAGAAAGAGAGTGAGAGTCTGAAACTTGTAATCTCCGATTTTATACACAGTGAATACTTTTGATGGATCTCCACCGTGGACGTAGGCTTTGCTGAACCACGTATAAATCTTTCTGTTCTTTGTGTGTGATGTGTTTACTTTTCTATTGTGTTTCGTGATTGTTGCTTGGGTTAGCTGCCTTTGTCATAACAATATATATATATATATATACACACACACACACACATACATATGAATCCTGGAAAGTTATATTTATTATCTAATAGGGTGGAAGACGAAATGGGACATTAAACTTGGTCCTAGCTTAATAATTGTAAAGGAAAATCTAGAAAAAACCTGAAGAATTGTTTAGAAACTGATAGTATCTCAAATTATACTGATTTAGGACTGGCTACAGCAGATAAGAGGACTGTTCCTTTTATAAGACAACATTTAATGTTACTACTTTGTTTCCAAGATTGGCTTTTAGACTACCCAAGAGCATTAATAGCAGCTTCTACCATTTCCAAGACATATTCAGATTTCCCATACCATCAGTAAACCCTTGGCTAGATACTATTGACTGCATCAAGAAGACACAACTGACTGCATCAACCTGTCCATTGCTCCTAGTTACAAAGCTTTCATGAGATTCACCTTGAAAAGTGTCGGGGAGTCGCGTGGGGGAAAACAAAAGCTACTTATTAACACCTCAGCATGTAAGTTTATGACTTATGGGGTCCCAAAATACTAATGCTACGGGAACTGAACCTTACTCCTTTCCAAGACTTTCACTTCTTTACTCCAAGGTTCGTGAGGCTCATGCCTTGCAGCAATCCAGAAACAAGCCATTGTAAAAAATTGCAGACAGATACAAGAAGAGCAGGGCAATATTTAAATTCTTCTATTGTTTCTCAAATTTCATCCGTATTTTATTACTTTATATCCCTTTTGTATACTTTTAGAGGCTTAACCTGCCATGCAAACTATAATAGCTTGTGTAGCAATTTCATTTAAGAGTTCATCTTCACGTTAATGCATATCTGATGATTCTGAAAATTTATTCTGTATGCTTTCATGTATACTACATTATCTGACCTTGTACTCTTTTGCTGACAATTTTTTTTTACTTTTTTTTGATAACTATGCTTTTGCTGACATTTTAATTGAATATTAATTAAGTTCTAGATATTTCTATTTACTTGTTTTTTCGTTTATTCTTTTGAAGGCACTCATTGCTTTGAAGAAGGGTACCCAGTTAATCAAGTATAGCCGGAAGGGGAAGCCTAAGTTTTGTCCATTCAGAGTTTCTCCGGTAATTTCTTTTTCCTTGTTTAAGGTATTTGTTGGGACTAGCGGAAGCGAAAGAATATTGAGATCCAACGAAAATAATAAACAATCACACACAAACAGAAGATATACATGGTTCATTCAAAATTAGGGCTACGTCCACTAACGATAGGAGATTCACTATAACTCCGTAAAGATGTTACACAAGTAGAGAATTTCTAACACCAAACATTGTACACACAGTCTTGACCGAGTTCTTCTCTGTGTACTCCACAAGACTCCTCCTCGCCATCAGTGTCCACTCTACTAAACCCATATCTACCTTTACCATCAACTCCCTCATGAGGCTACATCTCTCTCATTTTCATAACTCTCAACAATAATGTAGGTATCTATTTATAGAGTACAAAACCCAATTCCTTGTTGGATAAGGATTACAATTCCTTAGAGCCCAAGACTTGTCAAACTAGAAATTACCTAATAAAATACAACTCTAAAGTACCTAATTACAATAGGAATTTGAGACACAATCCTAACAATCTCCACCTTTGCTCAAATTCCCTCAGGTCAATCATTGCTTCCCACAACAATTGAGTCAGACAACTTATGTGGCTTCAATCTTGCACAACTTTGATTGTCCCCTTGTATATTGCTCTATTAGTCAAGCCTCCAAGGCACCACCTCGACTACTCAAGCTTCATGCTATGTAACCCATCATTTCTAATCATTGTGACCAAACTAGCCAATTGATTGACTAAACCCATTGTATCTCCTATTGAGATTCTTGTGTTTTCTGGATCTTCTTCAAATAAAAGGTGAACTTCCTAACTTGAACCGTCAACTCTGGTACCACTTGTTAGGGGTAGCAAAAGCGTAAGGAACATGAAGATCCAACGAAAGACAATAACGATCACACACAAATACAAGATTTACATGATTCACCCAAAATCAGGGCTACGTCTGCGGATGAGAAGAGATTCACTATAATTCTGTAGAGATGTTATATAAGTAGGAATTTTCAACACCAAACCATATACACACACTCTTGACTGAGTTCTTCGTGTACTCCACGAGACTCCTCCTCTACACTCTACCGAACTCGTATCTACCTCTACCATCAACTCCCTTATGAGCTACATCTCTTTCAATCTATAACTCTCAACAATAATGTAGATATCTATTTATAGAGTACAAAACCCAATTCCTTGTTGGACAATGATTACAATACCTTAGAGCCTAAGACTTGTCAAACAAGAAATTACCTAATAAAATACGACTCTAAAATAGATACCTAATTACAATAGGAATATGACACAATCCTAACAGTATTCAGTTTATTCAATGCAATCATTGGGTTTAACCGCTTGTCCATGTTAAACATGGCTACATGGCTTTAAAACTGCATGGGAAACTGTCTCAAGAAGGAGGACTTAAGTATGATGATCATAGATCAATATGATTTTCTTGTATTTAAATTTACATACTTATAATTTATATATTTCTTCTTTTAATTATTGAAATGACAATTGTGTGATTTGCGCACAACAAAACATGCCTACACTTGATGCATAAAATGTTTTAATTGGAAATTTACCAATAACAAATGGGCAACCATCATAAAGAAGCAATAACCTCTTCACTAGATTGTTAGGTCATTTAATTTTTAATTTGGTGTTTGCATGAGTCACATGTACAATTTTTTGTTGGATCTTATCTAGTGTGGCAAACAGACATGTGAAAGATGCATATAAATAAAATAATAGAGAAAAGAAAACCGAAAATGATATGTACAGATAAAATTCCAGCTCCTAGAGTTCGTATTACAAGTTGGAAAAATAGTGATTTATTTATTTATTTTATATAAAAGTAGGATTACGCCAAGGATCAGTTTTACGTCCATACCTATTTACGGTAGTGTTGTATTAGATGCTTCTAAGTCAGCCTTACCAACGAAGTTAGAGAAATGGAGGCAAGGGGACCCCCTCTCCCCTTTTTTGTTTATTATTGTTATGGAGGCTCTTAGTAGGTTGATGAGGAGGGCTGTGAACTTGGGGTTTTTACGGGGTTTCGAGATTGGTTCAGAGGTAGTCCATCAATTGGAGATTTCTCACTTGCTGTTTGCGGATGACACTTTGGTTTTTTGTGAGGCAGAGGTGTCCCAATTGAGATATTTGAGATGTGTTCTGGTTTGTTTTCAAGTAGTTTCTGGCTTGAAAATTAATGTAGGTAAGAGTGTGATTGTTCCTGGTGGGGAGGCTCAGGAGGTGGCTTCTCTTGTAGCTGTTTTTGGTTGTAGGACGAGCTCTTTCCCTATTTCCTATTTGGGTATGCCTTTGGGTGTCTCTTCTAGAAGGGCGGGTAGTTGGGACCCGGTTATGAAGTGCTTCGAGAGCAGATTGGCTGGGTGGAAAAAATAATATCTTTCGAAGGGAGGAAAGGTGATGTTGGTAAAAAATGTTCTGTCCAGTCTTCCAACTTATTTTCTTTCTCTATTCCAGATTCCCTCTTCCGTTGTCAGGAGACTCGAGATGATTCAAAGTAATTTTCTTTGGGGCGGTAGGGGGAAGGAGTTTAAGTATCATCTTGTTAGGTGGGAGCAGGTTTGCAGGCCTCTTAAGGCAGGAGGTCTTGGGTTTCAGAGATTGCGCCTTTCAATAGGGCTTTTCTTGGCAAGTGGCTTTGGAGATTTGGAAGTGAAAGACATAGACTATAGAGGAAGCTTATTGCTTGTCGGTTTGGGGAAGAGAGAAGGGGATGGTCTGCTAGACCGGTTAAATCTACTATTGGCGTGTTTGTGTGGCATTCCATTGGGAAGGGTTGGGATGAGTTTTTTAAGCATATTAGATTCAGGGTTCAGGAAGGTCGAAATGTCCGGTTTTGGGAGGATCTTTGGTGCGACGAACATCCATTGTGTAGACGGTTTCCAAGGTTATATAGGGTTGCTGTGGATCGTCATGCTTTAGTTGCAGACTGTTATCACCTTGATAGCGGTAGGTTTTCTTGGGATGTTCAGTTCTGGCGAGCCTTTCAGGATTGGGAGCTGGATGATATCGTTGGCTTGTTGGATCTTTTGTATTGACAGAAGGTGGATGGTACTGGGGCGGACCTCTTGACTTGGGTGCTTTCATCAAAAGGGATTTTTCAGGCCCGGTCTTTCTTCTTCTGTATTTCCGGCTTTCAGACTTATTCTTATCTGTGGAAAACGATTTGGCAGTCGAAGGCTCCTCTTAGGGTGGCTTTCTTTGCTTGGACTGCTGTTTGGGGTAAGATTTTGACTCTGGACAATTTAAGGAAGAGACGTCGTCATATCATTGTTAATTGGTGTTGTTTGTGTATGGCTGATGGAGAGTCTGTGGACCATCTTCTCTTGCATTGCCTAGTGGCCCATGACTGTTGGAGTCTTATTGTTTGGTCTTTTTGGCGTCCAGTGGGTTATGCCTCGGACCACTCGGGGTATTATGAATATCTGGAAGGGGCAAAGGGTGGGGTTTTGTGCTCGTGATTTCTGGAGGGCGACTCCTCTTTTTATTTGGTGGTGCCTGTGGAAAGAACGTAATAGAAGATCCTTTGATGGGAAGGAGTTACCTATTGGGGTGTTAAAATACTCAATCATTTGTTCTCTTTTTAGTTGGGGTACGGGGAGAGATTGTTCTTCTGTTGAGGAGATCATGGATTTTTTGGGGTCTTTGGGGCCATAGGACTTTTTCCTTGTATTTGTTTCATTCTTGTTTATTGTACTTCTCTTGGGATGCGTTCCCCTTTTGAACGCTTTCTAATACAATTTTACTTATAAGGAAAAAAAAAAAATAAAAGACAGTAAAACTAAATCATAATATATGGAATGTAAATTTAATAAGGTAGTAGAAGATCACAATATAAATATTACAATTTAACACCAAATAGTTACTCAGAATAACGACTTTTGTTATTTAGGGTCAATAATTTTTTTTTTGATAAGTAAAATGTATTAGAAAGCGTTCAAACGGGGAACACGTCTCAAGAGCTTTACAGAGGCGGAAGCCAGAGACAAGGTCCTAAGGACCCATCGAACCTAAAAAAATCAATAAACTCATCAATGGATATATAATTTCTCCCCAAAACCTAACTAAAAAGAGAGTTAATAATATAAAACTTCAAAGCCCTTAAGGAAGATTCCAAAAGATCTTCTATTCCACTCCTTCCATAAGCACCACCAAACACAAAGAGGAACCACCCTCCAACACTCACGGGCGTGGGCTCCTACACTATAGCCTCATCAAGCGTCAATCAAACCCCTCAAGGACTGAGGCATAACCTAATGGACGCTGACAAGGCTTCAACAGTCGTGAGCTACGGGGCAATGCAAAAGAAGGTGATCCACAGACTTGCCACTCTTCTTGCACAAACAACACCAATTGATTGTAATATGTCTTCGCTTTCTCAAATTATCCAGGGTTAAAATCTTGCCCCAAACAGCAGTCCAGACAAAGAAAACCACTCTGAGGGGAGCCTTGGAACGTTATATCGTCTTCCAAGGGAAATTAAAACCATGAAAATCAGAGCGACAACGGAATAGGAAATGAACCTCGAATCTCCCTTGAGAGGAAGGCACGTAAACTAGAGAGTCTGTGCCACTACCATCACCTCCTATCCATACAACAACTCCAACAAACCTGCAACCCCATCCAACTCTCATGCTTAAAAGGAACACTGAAAACGCACATCCCACACAAGCCTATTGTTATTGAGCCGATAACAGTCGGCCACCAAAGCATGTCTATCCACGGCAATCTGGAAAAGTCTGGGAAAGGAACGAGCCAATGGGCGATCACCATATCATAAATCCTCCCAGAACCCAACTCCTCTTCCATCCTGTACTCTGAATTTAATATGCTTAGAAAATTCATCCCATCCCTAACGAATGAATTTCCAAACACCCACACCTTCAGCGAATCTGATTGGATTCGAGGACCAACCGCCTCTCTCCTTCCCGTAGCGACGCACACCAACCTTCCTCCAAAGACGATGGCGCTCACTTCCAAATCT